GACATGCCACTGTGCTCAGTCATTATTTATTGAAGATGTGTGTGTGTGTGTGTGTGTGTGTGTGTGTGTGTGTGTGTGTGTGTGTGTGTGTGTGTCCATGTGAAGAATATTTATATGAGATTCAAACACAGTCAAACACTCCTAAAATGTGTTTTTTCAATATGTGAAAAATTGCACATCCCCAATGGAAACAAAGTGCATTAATTATTCTGTTTTCTTAATCTGTGTGTGTGTGTGTGTGTGTGTGTGTGTGTGTGTGTGTGTGTGTGTGTGTGTGTGTGTGTGTGTGTGTGTGTCCACTCCAACTGGACTTGGTTAAATGTCTGAATTAAGCTCGAGCTAACGAGGCTTCCGGCCCGGCGCTGTCGGGTGCTAAACACTCGTCAGTGATAAGTGTACGCAGCATGGCGGCTGAGCGCCTCATAGTAAAAATGACTTCCTTCTCTAATCCAAACTGTCAGTGCGGCACCTCTGTGAAGCCGCCAAGAGACCTCACGCCTGGTCACCTGGGAAAGCCTGGAGGGCTTTGGACGTCAGGGTTGCAAGTTAAAATCCTAAAGCCTCCTGCAAGCCGTGGTATCCTGTCAGCCTGCACCTGCTTACACAGCGCTGACAAAAGGTTGGTTCAGCTGTTCGAATGCATCTCTGCTGACGTACGAAAACTCGGCCCGGTTAGTTATCTAATGCCTTTGTTAGAACGCTGGGCTTATTGTGGTTTGGGGTGTTTGTGCTTGATGTTTTTGAATATTCACTCCTTGTGAGGAAGGTTTAGATGATGCTTCCTCCGAGCTGTGTCTGTTTGTCTGTCTGGAAGGAAGCCGTGTGTGACGAGAGCAGAGAGAGCAAAAAGTACGCTTTCAAATTTCTCTGCATGATGGTTTTACGTCACCATCACAGCACATCCAGTCTTTAACTGCAAGGCATGATGGTGATTCTCCTCATGGTTATAAAATCAGACAGGATGAAGCTTCAGGCTGAAGTAACGTAGAAATCTACATGAACTCAAAAATGAGAGAAGATTTGTGTCATTTAAGCAAAAACAAAAACGATTTTTTTTTATTCTTTAAATCGGAGGAACGGCTTTTTTCTAAGTCTGAGTGAGTTTCAGCTACAGACAGAGGAGAGATGGGTGTGACCGGAAAACTCTTATTCATTCACATCGTGGTAAAAACCAACTGCACGTTTTCCTTTTGATCAGCGTTTCCAAACTGAATCAGGAGGTTTTTAAACAGGGGAAAAAACAATAGCTGAAACACAACAACACTGTGAATACAAACTAAAGCCGCTGTTCGTAATCCTTCAGCACAATAGCAGCGACGTGTTTCACAGCCTGAATGGAAAAGCTAGGTGCTCTGTTATTTCTCTGCACGCTGCTACCTGACAGACGGAGAGAGGACAAGGAAAACCCAGCAGCTCTCGCACAGCACAAACACTTCTTCTAATTTAGGGGTTAAAAGAAACTTGGCATGATGCTCATACACGTGTGCACACGTGTGCGTGTTCCATTTCACATGGAGGACAAATGAAAGTGTAAAAGCTTAACAATAAACGAGTAGTTTGACCTGCTGGGAGCCAATTACAAAGAAGTGTCGTCCGTCATGTCCCCGATCGCTTTCCCCATCTCTCTCGCCTCCCTCCCTGTGCTTCTGTCCCTCCCTCTTTCACCAGGTAATGAAAGGTGCTAAAAACATACGCTGAAGAAAAAGCCGCCCTGAGTTACAAAGAGAAAATTCCACCTGCCGCATTTCAATCCCCCAGTAATGACGAGAGGGGCTGAGAGCGCGCTCTCCAAATTAAACTCCAGCTTGATTAATAAATTGTTCTGTCTCCTGCTCGTGTTAATAAGGTGCTCGTTGGACATATTTCATGTGGAAACACCGTGGGTAATTTTCAAACATAAAATGTTATTGGAGCAATATAGTTTACAGTTGCTGCAGTGCACGTCCAATTGAGTCGCTAATACGTTTTTGCTTTTAATGTGAAAATTATTGCAGTTTCTGCTATAAAAAATATTGTGCAATTATATTTTCCAGTCTTCCAACGCAGCGCACGTGGGGTAGATTTCATGGGAGGATGGCAGTTCGATACATTGCACGCATTTAAACACAGGGTGGATATATATTTATGCACATAAATGTAATAACGCCGAGCCATGGCCAGTGTCACTCAATTAGCAGACATGCCTGAGCACAGCTCTGCACACACTCGGGGACTGCGCTCCAGCTTTTTGCACCCCGCAATTCAGACAGTTGCATTAAATGCAAAGCTGGAGCGTCAAGCTTCACGAGTGCAGGCAGCTGTGCTGTCCACAGCAGCAATGCACAGCTGCCCGGCAGAGCTGTAACAGCCTGGTAAAATATTGATGAAGTTCAGGCCCAGACACAGTGTTTACAATGCAGGCGAAACCGCCGTCCCGCTCACTGAGAGGCTCACCTCACCTGGCTTTAGGCCAACACATTCATTCATGTTTCCATCCAAATGTCATGACCGTGTTACACATACATGACGTGATGTCAGTGGCGTTATAGCAAACAGCCCAACCCTGTGTGATAGTGACACGTCCTCTGACATCGTTCATGTGCTGATGTCTAATCTACCACTTGATTCGATACAATATGGATGCTGATCACATGTGACGACATTTCTTAATCAAGTTCATTTCAAAATAAAAATAAAATAAAATCATTTCCAAGCTTTCAGAGCTGTTTCAGTCAGGTGAGCCGGCACTAAAACCTCCCTAAACGTTGCATTTGTATTTGTCTTCTGTTTTAGCTCCGTTCATGGAGCGTTTAAGCTGATTCCACTAATCAGCTCGCTTCATATGTAGGTCTACATATAGGTGGTGAGATTATTGAGGAATGTGTAGGTTCACAGGAAATCAGTCTTTCATTATTTATTCATTCTGAATAATGCATGAAGACAGTAGCGATGCTAACCATGCTGCCTGTGCTAACAGACTGTTGGTCTGCAGGCCGAGCCTGCGATCCTCAAACTGACCTCTAGAAGAGCACGACAGGGTTATTGTCACAGGCTTCTTTACGAGTGTCTTGACTGGTTTGAGCGATAACTGCTGGTCCCACACACGCACACACACACACACACACACACACACACACACACAGATGCTAAACTGCCTCTTTACTTCGCTGAATGGGATGAAACTAGCCTCGTTTTAATCCCTCTTTCTGTCTTTTCCCACTTTTTCTTCTCCTCTCGTGCTGTTTTTTTCTGCCTGTGCTTATTTGAATTTTAATGAGCTTTTCACCTTTTTAAGCAGATGGCTTAGACTGGATTTCTCCATGAAAGTCGGGGTGAGTCTCTCTGTCATGTTTTGCTCAATTTGTTTCAACCGAGTCCTTGAGGGGGTTTAGAGATTTGCCTCCCTAATTTGCCTGTCTCACCCCTCTTCCTCGTCTGTCCCTCTGCTGTCCATGTCCTCTAATAAAATGAACGCCTCTCTTCCTCTGCTGAACGAGAGGACGCCATCACACAAACGAAAACTAAAACAGGGATATATTTAGACTGATGGAAAAACTGCTGGTTTGTTACTACCTAAAGATTTTTCTTTGGAATTAAATAGTTCAGCATTTCGGGAAAACTGATCATTACCTATAACACATCTGGATAACAATGACAGTTTATTCCAGGTTCTGGCAGGTCACAAACTCAAGCTTATCCCAGCAGCTGGTTTCAGTGCCAGACCACATCAGCTGATAAATGAAAAGCTGTTGTCAGAGGGGCCTCGTGTCCATGTGTGTGCATTGTGAACACGAGCTGATTCAGATGAAATGAGCTTGAACTTTCTGAGTCGGAGGGACCAGCCTGGGACGAACCTGCTCACACCTCCAAAGGTCACAGATGCTACATATGCGACAAAGAAGAAGCAAAAGTTGTTGTTGGTTTCTGTGGGAGGATTTGAGCTTTTCCCCTTTCTTAAAGAAACCAAACCTCAACCTGAATCTGGCAACATGCTGACGAGTCTGCACAGCAACGTTGTTCAGCAGGAAGTGAACATACGGTGCTCTCAAAAATGCTCCATTCCTGATGGTTTTTCTTTTTGCACATTAGTTTCACTTAAATTCTCTTTAAATCATCCAAAAATGTTCATGTTAGCCAAAGAAAACCTGAGTTTTTAAACTGTGCTTTCAACTATTCATGAAAATGATCTATTTACACCTACCTGGCCTGCCCTTATGTGAAAAAGCAACAAACGCAGCTGAAGCTGAACTGACTCCATAAATTTAATTACACATAAAAGTGACATTTGTGTATTTGTGCTCAGAAAGAAGAGGCTTTAGTGTGTTTCCCTGCGTACGTCACATCTACCTGATAGCATGTTTTCCTGCTTCGGGCAAATTCCTTTGGTTGGTGTCTTCTCTCCTCTCTCACCTCGTTCCCCTCTTCCTCCCACCTCTTCCTCCTCTGGTGTCACCTGGATGCCGACCTCTACTGGCTCCAACACCTTTCTTAGCTCCACCCTCTGCGCGTAGTGATGAAGGCTCTGCAGAGTTGGACTGTCTCCTTGTCCTCCTCCTCCTCGGTCGTTCATCTTGTCATAACAGCCGTTGGCCAGCAGCGGTGTTTGGCACTGCTTCTTCTTGTGCTCAATGAAGAGGAGTATGTCGCCCAACGGGAAAGTCATCTGGCACTGGCCGCAAGTGAGCAGGTCGTGGTCAGAGTGGAGGCCAGGCGGCAGCGTGTGAGCCAAGCTGGGGTCCAAAGGATGGGGACGTAGGCCAAGTGGATTGGAGGGCAGGGTGAGTGGGTTGGAGGGTAGGGATTCGGAGAGCAAAGCGCCATCTGGATGCTCCACCTCCGCTGCACGAGAAACAAAACAGAGGAGACACGTCAGAGTTAACCTGGGTGTATGTTCGCTCATCGCCTGCTGAAATCTATACATGACGCAAACGTGTAATTAGGTTACCACGTGTCTGAGCGACACACTAAAAGAGCTGCTCGTACAGCGCTGCGGTGACGACAACACACAACGATCAGAGTCGTGACCAACGACCTGTTAGACCAGGCGGCACTCACTTAACATAAGGCTTAATGTGTGGTGGCTCCGACACAACAGTGCAGCTTCATACGTGTGCAGTCACGCCTCCATCACGCTTCGAAGCTTTTTCAAGACATCTAAAAGTCCAAGAAGGTGAATTTTCAGCCACCATCTCAAACACACCACAAACTATATATTTTAGAATTTTTCAATCTCAAACACAAAGTACACAATATACACCGCATACTGCTGCAGTGCACACACACTTTTATTTAGCCTCGCACCTCTGAGGAAGGAAGGAAAATGAGAATTCAGCAAAATTGTAAGTGAGAAGCTCTACACTAACTAGATCGAACCCCGGGTTGTGTCCACGTCTTTGCATGTATGAGAGTTCAGTTGAAACTCGTCATTTCTGAGAATGTGCTTGTTTAGTATGTGGTTATGACCCAAAGTGGGTCGCCGTACATGTTAGGAGTTATTACATGGTCTCAATTAAGACACACGTATTAGTCGTAATCAGGGTATCTTCAGTGTTTGTGAGTGAGCAGATGGGCTTTGGGCAGAATGTTGCTGTGAAACAGCAGTAGGAGAGCACATGTGTGGTGTTTGCAGAGGCCAACAGCTTCACCAGCGAGCGAGCTTTGTAAGTGAGGGCTGTCTCCAAAAGGAGCGAGAAGGTCTGAACGAGGCTGGAGGAACAACTGACCCTCTGAGGTAAAACGGGAATGCTGACGATGACGAAGAGCAAACGCATCACCATCACCTCTCTCTGTCTCTAATACAAGATGATGGATTAGCAGCAGGCTGGCCGTTTGTCTCAGCCTCCACATTAGAAATGCAAACAGATTTGGGATGTCAAACGTGGATGAAGGCTCCAGATGGAACACCCCACCCCTCTACGCCACCGTATACCTGTTTTAGGTCTGCTGTTAAACATTCAAAGACCATATTGTACTTGTATCGTATACAACACAGTACAAACATTCATCTGCACTGCAGTGTATGTGCTGCACTCATTATATGTTAGAGAATATCAGTCTGCGCGCGCGCGCGTGCGTGCGTGCGTGCGTGTGTGTGTGTGTGTGTGTGTGCGTGTGGCCTGCAGGCTGCAGCCATCTGTCCTGTACAGTGGTAGCATGTTTCCCAGTACTAAACATTAGAGAGAATAAAACCAGTGAGCTGACCTGGAACAAATCCAATCTACATGTACGGTGACCCCCCCCCCCCACCACCACCACCACCAATGCAAATCTCACTTCATATTAGAATTATGACTGATAGGATCTTTTAAAGAGCTGGTCTAAAGTCTGCATCAGTTTAACGAGGCTTGGGTGAGTCGGGTAAGAGCCATACGTAGATATGACAGGCAGCATATCAATACTATAACATAGCAGAAGGTTTGACCAGAGAGCTTTGTGTTAGCTGTGCGCTGAATAGATGAATTTATTTCATTGTTCTTCTGCTAAATGTCAGCTGTTAACAAGACCCTAACCTACACAAATCACCAGCGACCCGACGGATCTGAAGAAGGATTTGGGAATTTGGTGTTTGTAGGTTCTCTTAGTTTTGAATTCAGAGCAAATGTTTTCCCTCAGCAGGTGATCATCTCTGGGGTTGGTTCCCTCCGTCTCACCACCTTTCACCACACGTGTGCTGTAAATCCATGGAAATCTCTCACACGTATCCTTCACACAAACGGGAGCACATTGCTGGCCACATGCCCATCAAATATTTGTTTCTCTCCTCGAGAGCTGTTTTCATGATTTTACTTTTATCTGCCGCCACACTTAGGCTGATGGGAAAAGCACCAAAATTGCTCCCAGAACCAGAAAGATTCTGCCAGTTGAGACCAGTGATAATGGTGCGCGCGTGGTTCTCGACTTAAATGATCAAAACTCGACTTGGCTTCTGTGTTTTTTTACCATTACTGCGTACACACACACACACACACACACACACACACACACACACTCTTAAATCAAGATATAATGTTTGTGGCTGAGACTGCACATCACACTCACACAGAGTAACACACTCCCTCACGGCACGCACTCAAAGCTGACGGTGGCTCGCTTACACGTCGACTGATAAACTGTTTATTTACCCGCACCGTCACTGTGTACTGTTACACACACACACGCTGCTGCACGCACACTTTATTTATCTAAAATTATGAGCTTTTTATTGTTTTGCAAGAACGACTTTTCTTTGCGAAGAGCCGAGGCTGGTCCTGGACGTGACTCGCACACACGGTCGTACGTGACGGACCGTAGATGTCGGTGATAGCAGATGAGTGAAGACTCAAAGTGATGAAAATAATCTGCCACCGCAGAGACTGTCAACATTAAGATGTGCCCTCAGAACACTTTCGTCTAAACAGGAAGTGGCTTTCCGTACAAAGTCAGTGTTGAGATACAGTTTTTAAAACTTCACAGTCGCGTTTGGGACGTATATTTATTGTACGTGGCGACTAAAAGTTGTTTCATTTATTTGTAGATAATCCAGCTTCTTGTTCTTTTTATAAAAAATACATTTTCAACATTTATTGCAACATTTTAAACTCGATACTTCTGCTGTAAACATGTCGCTTTGTTTGCAGGTGTTAAAGGAAGCAACCGGTATCACGTCCCCCCCGGTTTCAATCTTCACTCACTTCCTGTCACCTCTCTTCTTCTACCTATGAGACTGAAAATGCCTCAGAAATGTTTGGCTTTAATTTCCTTTTAGCTGAAACTTCAAAGAATCATTGTCAGTGTTTAGGAGATTAAAATATGCGAGGACGCAGTTTTACTCACAACCTGTTTTCAAAGTCAGTCGAATTTGAAATAAACATCAATTTAAGGTAATTCAAAGTAACTCCTGTGTGCTGGGTGAGGTTTGGGTGACCATGTCGAGCCAATCAGGAGCGCGCTGCTGCCAAACGCACAAAGGATTGTAATGGTGTATTTGAGTCCACCGCCACAGCAGCGACAGCGAGTTACAGAGAGATGCGAGCAGAGCCACCTGCCCAGGAGGTGCTGCAGCGGAAAACAAGTGCTACTCACAAACACGCAGAGCAGCTGTGTCACTGGCTCATCTGCCGAAGAGCATAACTGAGTGTGAGGTGGACTTCAACATCCAGCTTTCACCTCTGTCAGGTGAAGACAGTGACTAATGCTTTTTGTTTGTTTGTTTAATTATTTTTTTTTGCAACATGCAAAAAAGGCTCATTTTCAGAATCAGCACATGCATTCATTTTAATACTACAATTATTCTTTTACTCATTTAAATGTTCCAAATAGACAAAAATACACAGAAATAAAAACAATCAAATAAACTTATATTTGCAGATTTCTAATGAAAAACGAAATATTATGAAATGTGTTTTAAAACAAAGGGCACGTTTGTCTGCAGAGCAAGAACACACAGGACAAAAATACATGCAGAAATATTTACACACAGGAATTTACTACAACTTTAAAATGTGGCTCCAGTCATACGCAATGGCACACACACACACACACACACACACACACATGAAATGTGTCAGTCACTCATTGCTGTGAATCGACATGTATGCTCTAAATAAGAAGTGCCACGGAGAGGCAGACAGTCGAGTGTGCAGCTGTTGACAGTTAAGAGAGGTGAATGTGGTCTTTCAGCGCTGATGTCATCTGATTAACACGCACACACACACACACACACACACACACACTCAGAGCACATTTCCACTTCTCTCATTGGCAGAGCACTGTGGCTCTGACAGCCTGAGAGCTCCCCCTAGCAGGAAGAGGCGCAGAGACAGAGAGAAGACAGACAGCTTACAAAGGTATGCAGGATATGTTGGAGTGTGTGTGTGTGTGTGTGTGTGTGTGTGTGTGTGTGTGTGTGTGT